GGCAGCCCGCGCCCTCGTCCGCCCGCCGCCGCTGGCAGCCCGCTCCTGGCCCTCGGCATCTCTGGGGAGGTCCCTGGCCCCAGGCCGAGCCCCTCAGGCCGAGCCCCTCAGGCCGGCCCTGCCCTGCCCGGGGCCGTCCCTGCACCGCTGAGGCCCGCTTTCCTGTCCCCCGGCCCTCATTTGCAGTCCCAAAGCCTCCTGCCTCCCTCTCAGCTGAGGGGACAGCGGGTAGCTGGGGCCAGGGCCGCCGGTGCAGGAAGGCTGGGACCTGGTTGTTGTCCCCTCTTGCTGCTGTGGCACATCAGCTTGCCAGGTGTGAACTCTGCCCAGGTCGTGTGCGCCAGCCCTGCACGGCCCAGCCCTGCACCCTCACCACCCCCTGGACCCAGAAGTGTCTGCCTGGTGCTCAGAACCCCTCCCCAGCCCTCCATCTCCGAGGCTCAGGCTAGAGGGTGGACTGCAGAGGTCAGGGAGTGGGGAGCCCCGGGGGTGCAAGCAGAGGCAGCTGCCACCTGGGCCCAGGAGCACCTGGATCTGTCCCTTGTCCCCGAACCCCCACCCACGGGCGCTGGAGTCAGCCCTGCTGATCCTGCCCTGTGGCACTCACTGCCCAGCACCTTGGGCCTGCCCCCCTTGGCTGCCCAGTTCCCACAGCACCCGAGGAGCCCCGGCCAGGGTCTCTCCTGAGTCCTTTGTGTGACCTGGGGTGACAAGTACAGGGAAGGGTCAGGGCTGGGGGACAAAGGCCACCACATGGTTTTCTAACTGCTCCTCTCCATGCACTGGGAGGATACAACATGGGGTCCCCAGGACCACCTTGGGGGGGCTGTCAGAGCAGCCCTGGCTGGGAGAGGTGCAGGGGCGCTGTTCTCTGTCCCCCAGGGTCCCTGCTCCACAGCACACTGAGCTGGGCCCTGGGCTCGCTGACTTCAGGCTCCTCTTGCCTACCCTGGGGAAGCCCATGGTGCACTCTGTCCCGGAAGGTGGGGTCACTGGCCCCCCGGATGCCCACTTCCGAGGCTTGACGTCACTGGTGCAGGATGTGCCTCCATGGAGACTGTGGCCGGTTCCCCAACCATGGGGGGGGGCGGGAGGGACAGTAAAAATAGCCTCTGTGCCTGGCCATGTCAGGGGTTCATGTTTAGGTTTTTTCTTTTTTTTTTTTTAAACTCAAATTTCTTTGATAAAATATTTTCCCATGGTGTATGCACTGGGAATGTCTTCCTGGCAGGCCTTCCCAACGGATGGCGTGGCCTCCTCTCCAGGTCGCTGGTATTAGAGGGTGTGACCCCCTCACTGGAGACCCACTGTCCCTCATGTACGGCCCCATGGCTCTGGGGTATATAGCTAGGGCGCCCCCCACTTCCAGCCTGGCCTGTCTGATGCATGCCTGCACATGGCTCCTGGCTGTGTGGGCTTCCTTGCTCTAGGGCAGACACACCAGAAAGTGGCCCTGGCCCCTAGCATGGCTGGGACCCTGCCTCTGCCAGCACCCCCTTCCTGCTGGGCTGGGGGAGCAGCTTGGCCTCGCTCTGGGAACGCTGCACATCAAGTGGGTTTTCCCTTCGGAATGGCACCAAAATAGCAGAAGGAAGGAAAAGAAAATGGAAACTCAGCTGGTGGCAGGAGCTCTCCAGGGAGGCGGCCAGCTCTGGCCTGGCTCGGGACAGTGGTGGCTGAGCCAGGGTCCAGTCACTTGCGCGGAGCAGAGTCAGGCCCCCAGGGCACCAGTCCTGAGCCTGCTAGTTTGGCCCTGAGTGTACCACTCCCTGGGTCAGGCGCCAGTGCCCTCTGCTGTGCAGGGCACCCTGAGCCCACATAGCTCTGGCTCCAGGGTCAGAGCAGGGTTCTGCAGCCCCTTGGGGCTGTCCCAAACCCTGCTTGCTGCACCCTGGGGGCTTCTCTAGGGTTGGCCTCAGTGACCTGGGACAAGGCCTTCCTGGCCCTGGGGTGGCAGCCAGTGGCAGTTCAGCTGCCCATGCGGGCCAGCCTCTGGGCTGGCTGGGTACGCTGCTGAGGGTTCCCAGCAAGTGGTGGGAATGTGGCTGAAGTTGCAGGACCTTTGAAGAACCGGCCGCACACACAGCACAGCCCCATGGCTGCGGGTCCTGGCCCTCCGGGAACATGTCCCGGGTCAGTCTGCACGAAGCTGGGTGCGCCTTGAACACTGGCAGCAGTTTGAGGTGCCCAAACAAAGCAGGCCCCCCTATGCCTGGCTCCTGCTCAGAAACCTTGTCTTCTCCGCTGGTGTTACCCACGGGCCCCTCACATGGGGCCTGCAGGGTCTGTGCACACAGGTGGACGTGCTCCCGGCAACTGTATGCGCCCAGCTAGGCCTCTGTGGGGCACCCTGTGACAACAGTCTGGAGGCAGCGACAGGGATAGGGCTGGGCACCCTGCCCACCTGCAGGAACGTGCGTCTCCAGGCCGGGTCACAGGTCACCCTCTGCCCTCTTCCTCTCCCTGCGGCTGTCCTCAGTCCTGGGGCGCCGGCCTCCCTGGCCTGTGTAACTGCTGTTCCGGTGTGGGCACCTCTCTGGCCCAGGCTGCTCGCTCAGCTTCTGTCCCTGTCCTGTCCCTCCAGTTGCTCAGCTGCCCGACCCTGGCCCTTGTGGCTGCCCCAGCACCCGGCTTCCCGCTTCTGAGTAGGGGTTTCCTCCCAGCAACCCAATTTCCTGTTTTCTCAAGAAAAGACGCGGCAGCCAAGGCTCTGAAAAGCTCATTAAAATGCCTCCCCAGGCGTCCCGGACATCCTGGGGTCTTTACAACACTCGCCTGGCCTAAGTGCAGACAAAGAGTGGCAGGGACAAGGTTCCTGTCGCCCCCAGCTTCACGTTGAAGGAAAAGGCCCCAGAACACACTTCCTCGGGCGGCCCGAGGCTGCAGTCACCCCAGGGCTTGGGGGCCAGAGGGTCAGACTGCCTGCTGGCAGGGTGTGGGGAGCAGCAGCCTGTGGGCCGGGTACAGCCGGCTGCAGATGTGGGTGCCCCTTCCCCTGTCAGCACTGTCACCAGCACCTGGCTTGCAGGGCAGAAATGCACAGCAAAACGCCCAGGTCACCTCCTCCCAGCGTGTCCCTCCCCAGGGCTGTGCTCTGCAGCGGGCACAGGGTGGACCCTGGCAGTGGCCTTGCGGGTTCTCTGCAGTGAGGTCAAGCACACTAGGTCTAAGGTTCCCACCCACACAAAGGGCTGTGCTTGGAGGAGCCACCCCCGCCCCACTGGACAGCGCCCTGACCCAGGATGTCGGGGCCCTCGAGCCACCGCAGCACCCACCATCTTCCTGGTTCCCCGACCCCAGGAGCTGTCTCACCGTCTGGCCACACCAGGGACTCCTCATTCTGGCCACGCTTTTGGGCCTCAGGCTCAGGCTGGACGGCAGGAGGGACTTGGAGACGGGACAGTGCAGCCCAGGGAGCTTCCAGCCAGGTAGTCTCAGCCCTGCTCCACACTGGTGCCAGCCATGAAGGAAGAGGCGAGCAGGAGCCTCCATGGATCCCCTCTGAGCCGGGTTGCTTCACTCCAGGAGCTCTGTTCAGACCTCTCCATGCGTGGCCCAGGGACCTGCAGCCACCTGTGGCTCTGGACGTCATGGTCGGAAAACCCGACTTCCACAAGCTCCCTTGGGTTGCCTGGAGCCCAGGGCCAGAGTAAAGCCCTAGACACACCTGCGTGCCTGACTGGAGCCGTGTCCTCTGCCATCCTGGCCGCCCCTGGGCACAGTGCCCCTGCATCCTCCATCGGGTGTCGGTAGGGTGGCTCCAAGGCAGAGATGCCTGGAACTGACCTGAGGACACCGCTCCCAAGGCAGAAGCTCCAGGCTCCCGACAATGCCAGTCCTCGCCCACCCCCTACCTCCAGGGGGCGCCCTGCAGCTCCCCGAGCAGCCCCCGCATGTGGGACCCACCAGGCAGCGGCTGATGGGGTCCGAGTGGGTGACCGCACAAGGGAGTGCTTGAGCACCGCCTTCAGCCCCAGCAGACCACTGAGAAGCGGCGAGCAGCCCCGACCCGAGCGCGAAGCTGGACGGGATCCTCACCACCCTGGCCGTGTGTCAGGTTGACCCTTCCCTCCTGCCGGGCCGGGCCTGCGGGCCGAGGCTTCTGTGGCAGCCCCTGGCCTCCCCTGGGGGCCTGAACAGCACAGCTCAGGGCCTGGGCACCACCTTGTTTTAGAGGTGTGGTCTTGGCACCCGGTGGAAACTTTTTACCTAATTACAAATAAATCAAATTTAATAATTGAGCCCTGAAACTCCAAACAAAGTGATGTAAAGGAACCACACAGGGAGGAAGTAGCCCAAGAAACACGAGTACACAGCCAGCCAGCTGTCCCTGAAGAGCTATGCTGTAGATGGAAATCCCCACAGTAACCCTCGCGCCTCATCACACAGAAGACACGGGCCATCTTGCTGCTGTGAGCACCAGTACCCTTAATTGAGAGAAAGGAGACACAGATTAAAATGAAGGGTATGGAGCAAAACAGCACAAGACTGAAGAGAAAGCTTCGGTGAATTTCTGGCACACATTACGTTTTAAAGGAAAACGCCTCCCTGACTGCTCAGAGCCAAGGCACGGCCGTGGCTCGGCCCTGGCTGGCCTCTAGACGAAGGTCACCCCTGGAGAAAGCGAGCTCGGGAGCAATGGCTGCTTCCTGGTGTGAGGCTGAAGCACAGACAGCGAGGCAGGGACAAGTCATCACACCGGGGAGCAGAGATGCTGTCGGGGACCACGTCCTACCGTGTCAGAGGGACACAGGGCCCACATGGTGCCACGGGCCATGGGGCAGCGTGCACGCTGGGAAGGTGACCGTGTGATGGGGGAGGATGTTCAAATCTGCACGCAGAACCAGTCCTTAAAGTCATTGGTTATCTCTGCAGAACTTGAGACCAGATTAAAAACCTCAAAGCAAAACCCCTTAGAAGACGACTCAGGAGAGGGCTGGGGATGTAGCTCAGCAGCACAGTGCCTCCCAGGCAAGCACAAGGTCCTGAGTTCAATTTCCGGTACTTAAAAAAAAAAGACGACTCAGGAGAGCTTCCTCACCTGCACCAGCAAGGATTTACTGGCTATGACACCTAAAGCAAAGGCAACAAAGAAAAACTAAATTGGATTTCATCCAAATTAAAAACTTTTGTGAGCCTGGTGTTGCAGCACTCAGGAGGCTGAAGCAGGAGGATTGCTTCGAGTTTAAGGCCACTTGGGCTACATGCTGAGATCCTGTCTTAATCAGTCCCCCTAAAAAAAGCAAAACCAACCAACCAACTAACAAAAAATCTTTGTGCATCAAAGCACACTTTGAAGAGAGTAGAGGACATCTGCAGAGTGAAGAAATGGTTTGCAGGCTTTACTGGAACAGGGATTAGCATGCAGAGTCTATAAGGAACTGTGGCAGTCAAAAGCAGAATCATAAATAGTCTACTTTTTAGAGGGCAAAGGACTTGAACGGATGTCTCTCCAAAGACATGCAAAGGTCCAGTGGCATAGGAAAGGTGCTCATGGTCACTGGTCACTAGAGAAATGTAGATCAAATCCACAGTGCGAACTCCTCCACTCCCACACCAAGGGTTTTTATGTTTATCTGTGTAAAATTCACTAACAAGTACAAGTGGGGACATGGGTGGCCCGGAGCCCTCACACTGCAGGTGGGAACGTGAGATGGCACAGCCCTGAGAGGACAGGGTCGTGGCTCCCCAGAAAGTTAAACAGTTAAACTCCTGGGCAGCTGGGGCTGTGAGTGACATCTGTGCACCTGGCTCACGGCTGTGTTATTCGCAGCAGCCACAAGAGGGAAGCAGCCCAAGCACTGGTCCACGCATGAAGAGACAGCGTGACCAATGAGGACGTGGAGTAGGACTCAGCCTTGAAGAGGAAGGGACCCTGACATGCTGGGAACACTCGGGGGAGGCATGCAGTCAGCCCCCACATCCATCTGTAGGGTCAAGCAACTGCAGATGGAAGATTTTCAAAGGAATTCCAGAAAGTTCCACAAAGCAGAGCTGGACTCTGACACGCCCTGAGTGCTTGGCTGGATCCAGGGATGTGCAG